GTATTTTGGCGCCCCAGCTGCCGGAATATTACCGTTGTTTTAGGATGTTTTTTTTTAACAGTGTGGTTCATCTGTTTCATTCAACGATCCGCTTTCGCCCTTCTCATTCTCCGTCGCCGCCATGCTTTTTCCGTCATGTGCATATGAAAACAAAGGCACTGCGCATGCGCGTTTTACCCATATTCTATCGTGATATTTCATTTTCTTATCGTTGCCCAACATTATACCGGTATTACCGTGAAAGGTATGATATGGCCCAGCCCTAATTTGTATGATGACATTACTTCTCAAGGACAAAGCAAGGGAATCCTATTCTCTCATGTTTGCAAACTGAGCATATTTTATTGTATCTTTGCATGCACAGAAATGATATGATCTATGATCTTCTATGATTTCCTACTTTGCAAATGACATTTTTTTTCAGTTCCTGCCTTTAAATCACTCAGTTAGTGAGTGATACCACGTGTGTCCTCCACACACAAAAGGAATCAAACTGCTTTCCGTGAGCTAACCAAGTTAATCAGGCTGAAACTTTGAATGTCCTTGTGAAGATTCACAATTATGCAGTGGACCAAAGTTAGACAAAAAGAGCCAACGTTACGAAAGGTATTTCTGGAGGCTTTATTGCGAAAGATATTCGTGAGCCATTTATAAGGTGAAAGAGGGCAGAGTAGTAAGAGTCCACATTTACTTATTTACGTGGAGTAAAAAGGCTGACTCGGTCAACAAAGGTTGGTAACTTGTACTAAAAATGACCTGCTAAGACAGCCAGAACCCCCACACAGTCCAAATGTAAGTGACGATAAATATGACACAAATGTATTATTTGTATCTCTGAAATGAATTTTCTATCTGCCGTCTCATTATTCCAATGCCTAATTTCCACTATCTGGCAACCAGGCAGCAAAGCGAACCCATTTAATAATACACTGCCGAGATGCTTCCAGTTGGCCTTCATTTAGCCTGTCCAAACAGTGTCCCAAAGACATACAAACAACAGAAAGTGTGCGCACACATATCCATAATCTGCCCTTTATTTCCACAACAAAATGAACAACTCCAGGCAACATCAATTTTAAAGGCCAAGGGAGCAGCGTAAATCCTCTGAGGGCTCCTTTTCTCTCTCA